TTCATGCCCGCTCACCAATCAGAGGAATTTAAAAGAGTGTTTCATGCCAACAACGGCAATGTTTTGGGTGAGAAAACTGCCGGGGCGGACATTGGCTTTGCCGGAGTAGGCTCGGGCAATGACGACAGACACGGTAACGGCCATCGCTTCGACAGCAGTGGGCTCAACAGCCCAGCCGGAAACAACCTCTCCCACGGCGCAGGACCCGAGTGGAATACAAACTATATTGGTATTCGCAAGAATTTACATGAGGGCAGTGACGATGAGTTTGATGTGAAATCGGTCAATGATGCCGAGGAAAGTCGAGGGAACTCTAGTGGAGCGCTCACCAGCGGGGATAACGAGGCACCAAACCTTGCCGTCTTTTTTAGCAAGCCACAGGAATGCTTCTATTGCCGTACTGCCGCCGTGACATATGAATGCCAGTACTGTGAAGCCTTCTATGTGTGCGATGACTGCATGTGCAATGAAAACTGTGTCCATGACCCGACGCACCCCATGTCTGCCATTTATGAACTTCCATCTTGTTGCAGTCGGACATGCAGTTCTAGTGTAGGGACGATAGACGATGGTGCCAGTAGCCTCTTCTACGACCCATGTGATGTCTGTGGTCGAGTGATCAATGATGTGGAACTCGTGTACCACTGTGCAGAGTGCAATGCGGTGATCTGTAATGGCTGTTTTCAGGCAAATGGGGGTGCCGTGCATGAGCATGAAATTAAGCCGTTCCGGCGTTCAATTCGAAGTGGTACGACGGGTTCCGCGTTGGTAAATAAAAGCCGCAACAGTGAAGGCAATAAAGTTATTAATGACTACGTGGTTGTCCGACTGCTTGGTAGGGGATCATATGCCAAAGTGAACTTAGTCCAGCATCACCGGACCCTTGCCTTGTATGCACTGAAGATTCTGCGCTGCAATCGCACGAATAAGGCGAAGCGGGCTCTTTTAGGACGAGCTTCGAGCGGTGATGATTGGCTGCGTGAAATTGCTGTGATGAAGTTTGTGTCACATCCCAATATTGTGAAGCTCAAGGAGGTGATTGATGATGTGGAGGCAAACAAGGTATATCTTATCATGGAGTACTGTGCAAAAGGGCCGGTGCACACGGCGGGTGAGCCACCCCTTCCTTTAGAAAAGGTGCGAAAGTACAGCCGAGATATCATGGCTGGACTTTTGCATTTCCATGGCGAATATTTATTTCACCGCGACATTAAACCCGCCAATTGTCTTGTGGATGACAACGATGTTGTGAAAATTGCCGACTTTGGTGCCTCCAGCAGCCAAATGAAGAACTTGAGCACGGAGGGTACTCTTGCCTATTCGTGTCCTGAGCAGCTCAGTGGGGAGCGAGTGCCAGGCAACGTTGTGGATAGTTGGGCCTTTGCTCTCACGGTGTACCAGATGGCGTTTGGCTTCTTACCCATCGCCACAGAGAGTCTCTCTGACCTGCGTGTAAATCTTCTGAACGATCAGCCTATAAACATTCCAACCGATGCTGACCCGGAGTTGCGAGATGTCCTTTCTATGATGCTTGAGAAGCAACTTTCCAGGCGCATGCTTTTGCAGGAGGCGGCATATCATCCGTTCTTTCGCATGGAGGGAAATATGGTACCGAGCCCTCCTTCTAGAGCACCTGGAGATGATGCGAATACGGGTCTAAAGGACCTGTACGCGCGAGCGATGGATATGGTTACACGGGGTAGAGGAGTGGAGGATTGCTTTCATGGGGTACGGGCGATTCGTAAATTGCGTCGTAAGGCTCACACGTGGGATGTTAACAGCATGGACAACGAGGATAGCAACAGCGTGGACTCTGGGAACCCGAGCCCCAGCCCAATAGTCGACACGATGGACGCATGCCATCCCTATACAAGTGAAGCCGATGCCTTTCAAGTTGTCTCCATGTTGTTGGAGACACTGAAAAAGGGAAATATTAAGCTCATCGGTAGGCCCTTAACAGAGTTTCCTTCATTTCTTACCGATGCGAGCAGTACGACGACGGAAATTCGATTATCCAACAATGGTTTTTCCTCGGTTGGTAGAGTTAGTTTTTCACAGTTTATGCTGTTGCGAGAAGTAAGCATCACCAACAACTCGCTCACCAGCTTCCCTGTTGAAATCCTTTCCGCCCCGCGTTTACGTAAACTTGACCTCTCAAATAACCGTATAACGGATGTTCCAGCGGAGATCTCTAGGGCGACAATATTGGAACGCCTTTCTCTACACAACAACCGCATTCGGTACGTCGGCATGGATGAATCGGGGAAGTCTGTTTTTTCCGGTCGCTGCATGAGGCATGTTCGGTTGAGCGGGAATCCGTTGACTCATCTCCCTGAGGCACTGCAGACGTGTCCAAGACTGGAGTTGGTGCTTGACGATTTCCCCGTTCTCGTGGCGGAGTGGAGCCATTTGCTACCGGAAGTGTCGGTGGTGGTGGTGTGGAATGACATCTGTCCCCTGCGGGTGTGCCCGGACATCCCTGTGTTAACTTCTGTGAAGGGTATGCACCTATTCAGTCTCGCCATTCTGGAAACCCTTAGTATTCGCCATGTTGTGTTGCCGCATTTCGGGGACTGGCTTCCCATTGGCGAGGTCGCCGCGGAGGATATGGAGCACGTTAGCCAAAGAGTAAAAGGCGACGAAGGAGAGTTGCCGGACAAATTCAGACGCCCGTTGCAGAAATCTCTGGCAAATAGTACCGATGACAGGGGGAGTACGATGCCGAGGATGCGGTTTCGTCCTCCCATTCTCCGCCGTGCGGCATGTCGCTACCTGTATAGTTACTTCATTATCGGTGGAACGCACTACGACGAGAATGGAGGTTACTTGGCCCTTCTCAACTACCTTCAAAAGTGCATTAAAAGAGGGGAACTTGTCTTTCTCTGCTTTGACGAAAAGAAAGTGACAAGGGCGATGCGTGAAAGAATTATTGGCGTACTTTGTGAATTGATACAAGAAAATAGCCCCAATCAACTTGACGTGAATGAGTGTATCCAGATGGTCATCAATGCAACGAAGGGGCTCTATGGATAAAAACGAGTCTTACAGAAAAAAAGAATGACGTTGTGTTCGAAGTAAAAAAAAAAAAAAAAGGGAGGGGGGAACGGGGTGATTAAACGTGACATGGATATAGAAAGAAAAGAAAAGAACAAAAAAAAAAAAAAAAAACCTGCGGGCAGTAAATATAAAATATTTCTCTCTCTCTCTCTCTCTCTCTATATATATATATATAGATATATTATTTATTTATATTTATATGTAAAAGTGCTTGCTTAGCTGTGGTACGTATGTATTGAGGTATTCCTTCCACTCTTTTTTTTTTTTTTTTGGTGCTGCTGAAAAGGAGGGGGTTTATATATATTTCTTATATATTTCTTATATATATGTGCATGTGCATACAAACATGATTCGTATTGTATTAATCAATACGTGCAAATATATTTACATGTATATTTTATAAGCGTACATGTGTGCGTGTGCGTGTGTTTTTATAATGTAATGTATGCCTGTCCTATTTTTCTCCGCGGAAGGTAGAGTAGCTTCGGCTCCAATTTATATAAAAATATACATGTATTTGAAGGAACGGATGAATCTGCGGGAAAAAAAAAAGAAAAAAAAAGAGGAAACATGCGTGAGGTGATGGTTTATGTGAAGAATTGTTGTTTGTTTGTTTTTACGTGTTTGTGTGTTCGATTTTTATCTTTTTGCTGTGGGAAGAAATGGGGAGGAGGAGGAGGAGGAGGAATCTGCCGGGATAAAAGGCACGAGTCCGTTTTTGTTTTTGTTTTTGTTTTTCATCATTCGCCCTTTTTTTTTTTTTTGTTTGTTTTTTTGTTCGTTTGTTTTTGTTCGTTTGTGTGTTTTTGGCCAATGCCGTCTCAACGATACCGTGGCTGTGGCCCGCCTTTGGTTTGCATTTTTTTTTTCTTTTTCTTTTTTTCCTTTTGCTTGCATGTGCGCGTCTTCTGTTGTTTTCTTTTCCCCCACGTAAAAGGAGGGGGAGGGGGAGGGGGGCCTTCGTGTCATTTTCGCCGTCACCTCGCAGGTGCACGCACGACTCCCGACTTGCAGAGGGCCTCTTCGCCCTCCCAATTTGTTCGCTGGCCAACGGCTGCATGTACTTCAGGCCCCTCGTGCTGTTTGTTGGTTTTTGTTTTTTTTTTGGTTTACTGTCCATGCACATGCGGCGATGAATTCTGCGTCCCTTCTCTCTCTCTCTCTCTTTTGTCACCTTTTTTCTCCTTTGTTATCTCTTCTATTATGTGAAGGAACAGGGAGGGTATCGGTGCAGCGTTCAGGCGTGTGCAGTTCCACAATGGAGATGCGGCATCAACCGTGCTTTTGTTAGGCACCCCCTCTCCCCCGCCACACAAGTAAACATCGTTAAAAAGGAGGGAAAAAAAGAAGAGAAAAAAAAAAAACGAGAATATTCTTCTTGAGTTTCCCAATTCTTCTTTTTTCTTTTTTTTTTTTTTTCCCGCCATTGCGGCATTTCATTGATGGTTATTATTTCTACTTTTTTGTTTGTTTGTTTGTTTTTTCTATTCCATTGCTTGAGTTTACATTCCGTGTGCGTGTGAGTCCGAGATGGAGGGGGGGGGGGGGGAAGAGAGATTGAGTGAATGATGAGGGATTTCTGGAAGATGTTTACGTGCCGAATGAAAAGTGTACATGAGGCAAATGTGGGGGGTGGGGGGTGTAGGAACTCGCAGTGCCATTTCGGTGGCGGCGATGGTGCGGGTACTATTATATTGTATCAGAATGAACATATTTGACGGCATTTGTGTTTTGTTTTATGTTTGCCAGTCGGCACTGACATCCTACCGTTTTTGTCTTGTTTTTGTTTTACTTCTTTCTGTTCGTTTTTTCATTTATTGCATACAAGCACATGCCCTTTTTTATTTTATATTTTTTTTTTTTTTTTTCTGTTTGGTTGGGGGCGGGGGAATCTTCCGTTCTCTGCCTTGCCTTTGAAGGCATGCGTCACCCCTGTAACGTAGATGCGTAGAGAACATGTTGCCAACGAGGGAAGAGGCGAAATCACCGCAACCACGGCGACGGCGTGTGTGCGAGTAGTCCACATGGAGCACCCGCCAAGCCGCCTGCATCTCTCAGAGGCCGAGCGGCAGGGAGCCGTGAGTGTGCCTCTCCCTTTGACGGGCGGGGGTGGGGATGAAACTCGGGGTGTTCTGACGGTCATGTGCGTGGTGGAGGCGGCACGGCGGCAGCTGCGGCTGGACGACACGGCGCTGCAGCTCAGCCTCCACGGTGTGGTGTTGTCCCCGCAACAAGACTTGGCGGAGGTTCTGGAAACCCTCCCATGCGAAACCCGCAAACGTCTGGTGTTCCTCCTAAGCCCAACGCCCGCCAACGCGCTCGACAGGCAGGAAGGGGAAAGGAGCAAAAAGTCAAAGCAGGTCATGTTTGCTGAATCGTCATCGCCAGCATCCACACGGGCGGAGCTTGCTGCTATGACTGATGGAGAAGTGGCACAGTCGTTACCGATGCATGTTTCACCCAATTTGGAGAGGGGGACGCAGTCAACAACGTCTCAGTGTGTGTTTCTTGAATCGTGGCTCAAACCAAACCGCTGTGCCCGTTGCCAATGTGTGCGGGCACAACATAGCGTATTTACTCCAACCCGTCAAGAGCGTCTTCAAAGTGCCATGGTGTTGGCGAGGAAAAAGATTAGCCGTACTCCTCGTTGCCAAAGCACTGAGCGGGAAATGGGGTTGCGGGAGTCAGGGCTGCCGTATTATTACGCCGACCCTCATCAGTGGGAGCCGCAGCGGGGGGAACGGTATCACGGACGCGGTGAATCATGCCACGAATTCTGCGCATTGTGGGGAAGTCCCATGTTGTGTCGCAACTGCCAAAGAGTCAAGGAGGCGCATGAAATAGAGGTCAAACATGCGGTGACGCAGGTCTCAACGACAACCGCGAGGCAGCCGCGCAGTCTGGAATCCTTCTTGGTGCATAATGGAGGCAACTCCCCACCAGCGTATGCTCGCAAGACGTGTCAGCACCTTACCCCGTCCTCGAGTAGTGAGTACTGCACAGTTTGTTACACGCAACGGGTGAAGCAGATATCTCGAGTAGGGCCGCGCTCTCCGCTGGTTGATTTGACTCCACGGCGGCAACGTGTCTCACCTGCACGCCCAAAGGCAAACAACGTGGCCGATTGGCTTGCCGTGCCTGCAGCTGGAAAAGAGGTATCAGCTATTCAAAAGAAAGACGTTTGTAGCTCTGATGACAAAATAAGAAGGAGAGCGAAGCAGAGAAATGGAGCAGAGAGTACGAAGGAGATGGCTCTTATGCATGCTAACAATGCTCATTCCTTCCCTTCTTCCTTTTTATCCACCGCCGTCGCCAAGAAGAAGAAATCGATATTGACGGTACCCCCAAAAAGAATAAATTGTGGTGCCTTGCGAAAAGGCATCCCGTGGGATCTCGTACTGCCGTACATGACATTTGATGATCTACTGGTGTGTAGAACCGTTAGTTCGGCCATGTGCAGCGTCGCTATTTCAATCATTTATGAAAACTGTCATTACATTATGGATATCCTTGATATTCCAATTCGGAAACGTGAATTACTTGTAAAACATGCCAATCGCTACGCCTCCGTTATTCTGGACGCTTTGCAGGAAAAAAGACCGTGTTCTGAGCCAACGGATGCCGCCACGCATCCTCGTCGTCTCTTCCATTTCTGCATCCTGCGGTTCCTCGGGGCCTTGCAGGCATTGAGCCCCGAGAGAGAAAACGGCCTTACCGAAAGAGGCACCCAAGAGGGGAGAAACTGGGCG